TCTCCACCAATGCATGCTGCAAAGCACAGACCCCCTCACCCCGGGTGAAGGGAAGGCAGACATGTATGTCTGTGGGGTGGGCAAATCTACTCATGGTGTTAATTAGCTAGATATTTTAAATAGCTTATTTAAATACTGGGAGGTCCTTAATCTCTTCCCCCTATGGAGGCAAGTTGGGAGCCTGGTCTCCTCTGCTGGGTGCTAAGAGGCACTGGCACACAGAGCTCTGTTATTAACAAGCTGGCTGCCGCTGGCGCACGTACACAGATGACAATGGTCATTAAAAGCATTTTTTTTTTTCCATATCATACTCCAGAGGTTATTCTTGGCGACAAGTGCTTTTCAGCTTGTGGCCAGGGCTCAGCAACTGCTGCTCCCATTCGTGTGGGCAGGCTCCTACACCAAGGTCAGGGCTGTGACCACTTCCTGGCAGAATTAACCCAAAAAAGCCTTTGTCTGTTTTTTTTCCCCCGTAAAAAAAAAAAAAAAAAAAAAAAAAAGCATGGTTATGCTTGCGACCTGCCGGCAGCTAACACCAAAGTGCAACACAGGATGGGTTGAAATTTCCTTGGCTTTGAATGGTGGCATGTTCAAGCATGAGCAGCTCTCCTGGATACCCTTCTGCTACTATCTGTAACTATCCTTTTGTACTATCAAGAACTGGATGATGGACCTCAAAGGTCTTGTTACCAACCCTTTATCTCAACAGTGTCTGGGTACAACAGTACCAGGTGTCCTCCAAAATGCTTTCTCAAAGCCAAGTGCTGTGCTGGTGGAGACGTGCAGGTAGGCACCATCCCACCACAGCAGTGGGCCCAGGTGGTTGAAGCCTGAGGTGACACAACGCAGCTGATGGGGGCTTCTCCCTGCAGGTGGTGCTGCAAGGTGAGGTCGTGTTGCTGCTTTGGGATGGAGTGGGGTGGTGGGGTCCTCCCATACCAGGGACGAGTTGCTTACACACCAGTCCAGCAGCCCCAGCTGTGGACTCAGAGGAAATGTGCATCGCAGGATATTTTTGTGTTTCATTTGTGCTTGTCCAAGAGCCTCGATCACACCACCAACACAGTATATTTGCCAAAAAAGTGACAAAGCCCATTCTGAGAGCTGCATTTGTCTGCTTCCTGGCTTAAAACCTTTGCTCAATGGCTCTAGCAAACACTTTATTCTCACTGTACTGCACAGCACCCAATTCCCTGATGCCTGTGTGCTCCCATCACTCAGCCCAGCTCGCTCCGGGACGGTGCTCTTTGGTCCTGGACAAAAGCCTCAGCACCCGTGGGGACCGGGACGCTCCTGCACAGCAGTGGCAGCCAGCCAGCCCCAAAGGGTTGCAATCCCGCCGCATCACCCCCAGCCCCTTTGCTGAAGTCAAAGGCAATGGGTCCTTTCCTGGAGCTGGAGCATGTGTGCTTCCCCCTGGGTCGGGGGCAGGCAAAGGGGGCATCCCTGGGCTCCCATTAGGGTTACGGGCTGCACCAACCGCCCCTTTGCTGCAGAAAGGCACACGGGGACAGTCTTGGCACAAGGCTGGCTGTAAAGAGGATTTTGGGGTCCAAATGTAAGTGGAAAAAGGCAGTCAGTGGCGATGCTGGGTGAGCAGGCAACATGGCACCAGCCGAAGCAGGGGCACAATTCACGGCAGTCTGAGGGGGATGGGCAAGTGATGCCTCTTTGCAAAACTGATTTTTACCCAAAAGTTGATTTTTTTGATTGGCATCTATGCAGTCCAGCATCACCTGGATGGCAAAACTCGTGGGGGTGCCCACCATGGCAGCGATGGTGGGAAGGCAGCCAGGGGTACAGCTGGCCCCACACCATGCGTGGTCCTTCGACTGTGCCCCTGTGCCATGGCAGGCCCCGGGGACAAAGCCGCTCCTCCAATCACCTCTGCTTTTCCCTCCTGGTGTCGGGGTTGTTATTTACTCTCAACCGCAGCAGCGAAGGGGCCTGGGTGAGGAGCGGGGCTGGAGGGGCGAGGGAGGCTGAAGGGCAAGTGTCTGCTGCCCAGAGCGTGCAGGCTGCCGAGAGAGGCCAGAGGCTGCTATTGCAGGTGGCCACGGGCAGCTGACGGGAGAAACCAAGGGGGAAGGAGCAGTGACGGCAAAGCCACCAGCAAAACCTCCTCTCCACCGGCCAGCCAGGGGCAAGCGCTGCCTGGTCCTCCCAGTAGTACCGAACTGGAGGGCTGGGATGGAGCGGGGGGCAAACCAACCAGAACCAGGGCGACCAAGTCCAGGCACCTGCCCAAAGGAAAACAGGAGCAAGCAGACAGCTAGACCCAAAATAAAACATAAGAGCCTCAGGAAAAAAAAATAAATCCCCAAAGGCACCAAACTTGGGTTTTTTTTTCCTACTTGCATATTTTTTAATTAAGTAAAAAATAAAAACAAAAGGAAGAAACACTCCAGGGATGCTGTTGGGCTGGCGCAGATCGCCCTTGTGCACGGAGGTCCCCATGCCGAGGGCAGCCAGTCGCCCCTCCGCGCCCCCTCCCCGAGGTCAGCCGAAGAAGGAAGCGGATGAAAAGTGGGAAAGTAGATACGGCACAAGAAACGGGAGAACAGCAGGGCAGCTCCCCAGGCTGGGCTTTACCCAGGGGTGGGTGAGTTGGCATGGGTTAAATAAGAGCTCAACAGACTTGATATATCCAAATTAAGAACAGCAATGATAACAACCCCCCCTGCCCCATCTCGGGAGCTGCACTTCAAACCCCCACAGACGGCTTTTGTGGAGCTTTTGTAATTTTTCTTTCAGTGTCACACGTGGGTGCTCTGGGGTCCCGGCTGGCAGGCAGCTCTCGGTGGCTCCTGGCACGGGCAGATGCCAGAAGGATGGGCAAGCTTGGTGGGAGCCCAGCCTCAGGGTTTCTTGCCCGGCTTTTTTCAAGCCCTTTCCCAAAGGCATGGTGAAGGAAGGGTAAGGAGGCAGCAGGGCAGATGCTTGTTGGCTTCAAACCCAACAACTGTGGCCCATGGTGGGTGGGCTCCCACCAGCAAAGCTCCTGGTGCTCCTCTGAGAAGGATCCTTCGTCTCTGCCCAATGTGTATATGCGCTTATATAGATACCTGATAAACATTTTGTATGAAAATAAATGCTTCATCTGTGTGTTAAGGACCATTGTCACTCTCACCTAGTCACCCGCTATAACGCTGCATCTCTCTTTTGTTCGTGACCACCTTGTTCCCATTGCTTTTTTCCTAACCTGCGGCCACCTCCTCCCTGCCTCCTGGGGCAGCAGAAAGCACTGCAGCAGGCCAAGGCCTTTGGGCACCTTTTGGCAGCCCCTCTCTTGCTGCCTCCCATGATTTGGCTGATTATAGGGAGCTTTATGAAGAAAATGTTTTCCTTTACAGCACCTGTTTCTTGATGGAAGAAATTACCTTCATCTTGAAAACACTTTACAAAGAGTAAGGTTTTAACATCCTCTTCCAGGGCTCTCAGTTAAGAAATATGTTTCTAGATAGCACTGTTTATATAGATATAGGTATAGGTTTTATTTATTTTTATTACCAACCCAACATTTTGATTTGCAGCCATTGATGTAATTCATGACATACTCCCGTGGTGCTTTTGGTTTTTGGTGGGGTGTTTTTTCTTTTTTTCCTTAAAAAGAAATGCACTTCAAATGAAAAGGATGTCTTTTTGTCTGTCTGCTGTTTCTAAAAGGTACTTGAGATGCTACAGGAGTGCTGACGTGGGTGGCAGTTTTTAAGCCCGTACCTTTCCATGGCCTGAAGACCACCAGGAAGACGCAGGCGCTGTGAAAACCGGGGGTTGCAAACAAGTGAAAGGGCGGCCACACCACAGCTTGGGGCGGGACAGTGCTGGGAACGTACTGGCATGCTATCTGGGTCTTCCTGAATTAATTTCCACCTCCGAGCATGAGGACCACGCAGCAATCCCCCTCCCCCAACACCCCCCTTCCCCAAAAAGGAGTCGGTACCGCTTTCCCTGGCCCCTCGCTCCCCCTCCCTGGGCAGGCTGTTCCTGGGGTAGCCATTTATTTCTTTATCAGTTGTAAATTAACATAATTTTGTCTCCCTTGCAGTACCACAAGCTCGAAGTTAATTATACAAAGAGAAATGCCATAGTCAAAATATACATGATGCCTATTATATTAGGGGTTTGGTTGGTTGGGGTTTTGTTTTCTTTTTTCCTCCTTTTTTTCTTAGCCCAGGCAGGTGATTGAGATGCTACATGCTCCAGCCTTTGTCACTGAGTGTGTGTGTGTGTGTGTGTGTCTGTGTGTGTGTGTGTCTGCGTTTGTATTAAAAATATATCAGTCTTGTGATGTTCTTAAAAAAGAAAGAAATGGAAGGCGGCGAGGGAGGAAACGAGTAACAGTGAAAGAGTTCTTTGACCGTGTCACAGTCTTTTGTGGCTTCAAAAAATACACACGTTCAATTCCAGCACTGACTGCAGCTCAAAGCTTTGGAGTAGATTTTTAACATTTTTCTGTTTTAATAGTAAAAAAGAAAAAAAAAACAAACAAGCAGCGTGCCCCCCCAACCAAAAAGCAAAAAGCAAACGAAAGAAAAAAAAAGGGGGAAAAAAAAAAAAATCAAATTCCTGATCAGCCTTCCGCAATTCCCAACCAGTAAAAATAAGAAACGGTCTCCTTACAGCGCAGGGGTGCTCAGGAGGAGAGCAGAGAAGCCCCTGCAGGAGAGGTGGCCTTTGGAGATGGCTGAAACTTCTTAATCTCATTGAATGGGGTCAGTGGCTGGGTTTATTCTGTTTTGTTTTATTTCAACACTTGCCATTGCTGCTTTCTTTTCTTTTGTATCATTTTGGGTGGGTGTTGTTTGGGTTTGGTTTTTTTTTTTTTTCACTCTGTTACGGTTTTGCCCTTCTTGGCGCCCAGCCGTCCGACTGTCTGGGCAGCGGTGGCCCCCGATGGACAGCTGTCCCCTCCGGTGAAACCGCGCTTACAGGACCGGTGTCCGGTGAGGTAACGGAGGAGGGGGGCCCTCCCCCTGGCGGCACCGTCCCTCCACCGCCTAAAACCCCTTGATGTAGCAATAGGCCTCCAGGGTGGCGAAGAGGATGTACAGCAGCCAGAGGCTGACGAAGAGCAATGTCGTGGCCAGTTTGCACCCCCGGGGGCCGCCCAGCTCCCCCCCGATGTGGGGCCGCCGGCGGTAGAGGAGGATGCTGATGCAGATGAAGGCGAAGATGGTGAAGAGGGTGACGGAGAAGGCCAGGGTGCCCGCCGACACCTGGAACTCCTGCCCCTGCGATGCCCAGTAGATCGCCGCCACCGACCACGCCAGCCCGATGCCCAGGAAGACATTGACGGCGTTGCTGCCTGTGACGTTGCTGATGGAGGCGTCAGCATACACGTCCTGGATGGCCGCCGCTTTGCTGGCAAACGTGTCTGGGGTTTGGGGAGGAGGGAAGGAGAAATCACTGGGGGTCCAACAGGAGAAATGGGCAACCCTTCATGTCTGGGGGACAATGGAGGCTCGGGTGTGGCACTGGCCAGGTTGGGACATGGATCTCTCCTGGTGCACACCCCCTCCTCCCAGGTCCAGGGACCCCATGTTGCCACCAAGTGGGGTGCAGACCTTGCCTGGGGATAGGGCACTGTGGAGCCCCTTCCCAGCCTGAACCCCATCCCCATGATAGAGCTGCTCCCCTGGGGCAGGAGGGCCACCACAGGACTTTCCTCCCACTCCATCCACTCCCCGTGGCCACCCCACCTGGTACAGAAGTGCCGAAGGCGACAAAGATGACGGCGGTCACTGAGTCCTTGAGGCCGATGGTGCAGCCGAAATGGGAGGCAAGGTCGCCGATGACAGCCGTGAGCATGCCAATGATGAGGATGGAGACAACAAAGCAGGCCCAGCCATTGCAGTACTCGGTGGGGGGCACGCAGGCAAACAGCACCTTCCAGAAGACGGTCAGGAAGTGCATCACGTAGTCAAAGCAGGACGGCAGGCGCTCCTCGCCTGACTCGTCCTCATCCTCATCACCCGCTGCAAACAACGTGGAAGGAAAGGTCCAGTGGTCACGATGGGGCAGGTCAAGATACGGGGGTGGGCTGCAGCCCCCCACCCCAGGGCTTCAAGGATGCTCTCCTGGGACAAGGTGGCTCATTGCTGGCCACGACAGTGGGCTTAGGGCACACCAGGTCCCTCAGTGATGGGTGAGGCTTGGCAAGAGCAGTGCCTCCCACGACACCCCAGAGTCTGCAGGGCTGGGGAGTGGCAAAGCAGTGGGTTGTACCCACAGAGGGGCAGCCCCATCCCCGTCCCTGTTCCCGCCCACCGACAGTCACATAGTATGTAGTCAGCCTGTGGAGATCACTGTCGAGTCACACAGGCAAGTGATGATTTGGGGGGTAAACAGATGGAGGATGGAGATAAACTGGTGAAAGAGAAAGCAGGTAGGAAGCACAGAGAAGACGGCACGGGAAGGAGAGAGATGGAGGAGGAGAGAAGCAGGCCTGCTTGCTACGAGGATGGAAGTACTGTTTCCACAGAAGCAGTTTCTCTGAATTGCTAAAAGGAAGAAAACTGAATGCCCCGCATCTCTTCTTTCACATCAGAAGAAGCCCTTGTGGCCACTGGTGACGGCTCCCGCTCAGCTGCCTGCTTCCCGCACTACAGTTGGGTGGAAAAGAGCCCTTCGGGAAAGATGCCAAACCCACAAGGAAAGTTTCAGAAAGGTGCCCAAGTGTCATTAATGGCATGGGCACACCTAAAATGTCTGCTCTGCTGCTGCCTGGCTCTGGAAGCACTGAGCTCCCTCAAGGCTCCCTGAGCAACAGCTGGATTGGGCCCTTCCCTCCACCAGCTGCTGCCTCGTGCAACATCTGATGGGGCAACATCTCCTGTCCATGTGTGGTAACTCTCCCTGCTCTCAGAGACTCTACGGGCTGTGGCAGACAAGACATCTTCCAGCAGCAGGAGCTACCTGAACAGGATGGCGCCGCGCACACCAGGAGCCAGCAGCCCAGCCAGGATGGGATTTTGCTGCCTGTATGCTGCTCATCAGAACACTGAAGCAGCAGGAGCACTGCCAGCAGAAGTAAAGTCTTGGAAAACTGGCATCCTGGATGGCTCCGCACTAAAAGATGGAGCTCCTGGGCTCCCAGCTAATGCATCTGCAAAAGCCTAGTATATTTGGAGTCGAGGAGCTCTTTGGAGTGGCTTTTCCAATGACCACCACCAGCAGATGCTGTCTCCTGAGCCCAGACAGATCTCATCCCAGGCTGCATGAACCTTGGGGGTGCTGGTGTGGGTTTTCTGGTGTCCCCCTCACCTGCGCTGACGGTAATGGCCTCCATGAACTGGTCCCTCCAGGAATGTGTCCCTACAACCAAAGCCAGGTTTGTCTTCTTAATCAGCTTGTCCACGGTGCTCTGTTGTGGGAATAAAGATGCACAGCTATTAAACTGGCTGCTGGCAGGCAAGACTGATCTTGCAGAGTACTGTGGGCTCACAGACCCCTCCCAAACTGCTGAGGTGCCACAAGCACTCTCCTACCAGTCAGATGAGGCCATGACTGGAACTGAACTGGGCCCACCTTCTCCCTGGACAGGCTAACCCAAACCTCACCAGAGCCTGCTGCTTTGCCACCTCGTACTCCAGAAGAGGCTCTTTCTGCCCTTGCCCCTGCCTCACCAGAGAGAGCTTTGCTCCTGCCCTCTCCTGCACCTGGCTTCTTCTGCTTCCAGCAGGGCTCCCTTGTCTTCCTCCCTTCACCTCTGCCTACCAGCAGCGACGTCCCCTGGTGCTTCTTGTAGGCTCCCCCCCATACTTTATTGTATTGCATACTCCTTTTCATCTTCCAGCAGCCCTTTCCCTGCACAGGCAGCCACCCCCAGCCTCAGTTCTGCTTTCCATGGCTGCTCTCATTGTCACACAGCCTTCCCCTCCTGGAGGACACCTGGAACAACTACTGACCTTGAACTCATAGGACTCCTCGATGATGACTTCTAGTTTGGGATGCTCTCCAAGTATTGGTTTGCCCATCTCTGCAATCCTCTTGGCTTCCTCCTCTTCAACCGTCAGCTTCCTCTCAGCCACCTCTGTGGAAGCAAAGTCAACACCAAGCTGTAGGCAGCAGCCCCGGAACACGGGAGCATGGTGGGGGCTTGTCTGCAGGGCCTGAGCACGGGCTTCTGCAGCCCTGCACAGCCTGCTGAGCTCAGGCAGCAAGGTGGGGGCAGTGGTGGGGTATTGCACCACAGAAACAAAGGACCAAGATTTCTGAATATCCATTAGTCACCAACATACACCACATGGTTTTAATTTACTGAAAAAAAAAACCAAACGAAAACAAAAACCCCAAAATGTTTCTTCAGCCTGCATTGGCGCTCTTGGATGACATCCACCCTCCCGTCATCCCTGCGGCAGCCATATCTTTGGGAAGACCGAGGTACGGATCCATTCTGCCATTTGGCACAGGTGTCCTTTAAGACAGCTTTAATGCCCTGGCATGTTTCCTGGTTTGAACAATCAGGAGACAGGATCTTTTTCCTTTGATTAGAAAATATTCCCCTTTGATTAGAAAAATCACTGTTGTCACTCTGTGTCACGCAGTGCTTGATCTAACCCTCCGACAGACACACATGCAAGGTTACAACCACGCACGCACACACGTACACGTTCCTAGCATTTGGAAGCATGAACAGAAAGAAGTCAGACAGGAGCCAAAGTGGGTTTTTTGCTTTCCTGTTACTGGGTGTTTAGTTTCAGCTGGAGGAAACTAAACCAGGACCCCGGGCCAGCAGATGCCACCATGGGGCAGGAGGGGTGCCCCGTGGGACTGCCTGGGAGGTGCAGCATGCTGAGACGACTCTGTGTTGGGGTCACCTCGCTGATGCCCCAGCAAACCCGGCGAGGTGCCCAGGGAGGTTCTGGTTGCCTGGACGGGAAGGAGCACCCCAACCAGGAGGAAGGGTGCTCTGGCACCGTCCCTGGCCCTGACCCAGGTCTCCTCTGCCACCCACATGCCCACACTCAGGCACGTGCCGGCAGGCTCTCTGGAAAGTCTTGACCTCTCAGGAGAGAAGCTGGGTCTGCCCCGGCTTTCCGGTGCCTGCCCAGCCAGGGCGCACCCGCTGCAGCACGGGGCCCAGCTGAGGCTGGCAGCTCTGCAGAACCTGGGGGAGCATTGCAGATGCAGAGCACCTTGTTCTGGCTGAGCAGTGGGCCAGGTGTTACCCAAAGTTTCCTGCAGAGTTTGCAAACACCCCAGGTAATGCCTCAGATGCGATTAATCCCATGTGGGCTCCAGCAGATCTTCTACTCTGCACCAAAAGTCACACAGACATTAAGAAGTCCCAGTGAAATCTAGTTATAAACTCTGCCTTCTCTTCACCAACCTGGCTGGATTGATTGCCAAGACTTGTAAACGTTGCAAGTCCTTCAGAGTTTATAAAATACATAATAATTCTTGTGGCAGGTGACATTATTATAACCCATCGCAGAAGCAGCTACATCCATCATTTGAAATCAATGATGTACATCCAAACCATCGCTGCCTCGCTCCAAGACAGCGTACTCCGGATTTAGGAATCCCCCAAAAGTTTACAAATCCAGAGACAGGGGAGCACAGCACCTGGAGAAGGCGGTGGGCAATCCAGCTGGGCAATGCGGGCTACCAGGGGGGCAAGGGGGCAGCGGCAGGCAAAGGCCGAGCAAGCGCAAAGGGGAGGAGGCAGCTGAGCTGGAGAAGTGCAGAAACAGGGGAGAACTTGGACAAAATGTTCCACCTCATGCTACGCTTGCAGCCATGAACTGATGATCATCAAGACCAAGATTCAAGTTACTTATAGTCACTTGAGCAGGGACTCAGATGAAACCTGCATCTCTTTTTCCAAGACAGAGATTGAGAAAGTCCAGACTCTGCCTCTACCTGGAAGGGTACGAAGATGACAAGCTGTACCCATTGTTGAACATGGAAGCGCTCACACACCAGTTGCCGTATCACGTACGTGGCTTGCTTCTGTCCGAGCTCCCCCATAACCTGAAGCTCCGGGGAGGAGGCACCCTCAGCTCTGCAAGGCCCAGCTTGGCAGATGAGCCGAGCGCATGCTGACGGCACTGAGCTGAGCAAAAGCACAGCAGCCACCCCAGCGGGACGGCCAGGCCCGGACTCGGGGACAGTCTGGCTCACTGCAACCTTCGCTGAGAAGTAACTGCATCAGAAAAGCTGCGGTCGCAGCTGGCGGCAGAGCCCCTTGGGCTCTCGCCCACTGGCTGCAGTTGCATAGCGCAGAAAGCAAATGTCTGGAATCAGAAGAGCTGCCTTGAAAACGGGGAATATCGGGCAGAATTTCCTCAGCTTAAGAACTCCAGGAGAAACGATGCAACAAAGCCTCGGTCCCTGCTTTAACTGATTGGACAAAAGGCTTTGGCATGGTAAGACAGCAGGGTGCCTCTTGCAGGTATGAGCTACCTGGGCAAGGCTGAGCCGCAGGCAGTCCCGTGAGCACAGGCAGCGCAGAACGCCTTCTCCTCCCTGTAGGGAATGGTATCCAACATGGCTTCATCCCAGAACCTGGCATCTTGCTCATGCTGGTTTGTGTACCTGTGCCCGACAGGGCAGCCCGAGACCCGATCCCCGCCTCTGCAGAGGGAGACCTGCTCTGTCTCTTCCGACTGGGTGTCAGGCCCGAGGCTGCTGGGCAGGCTGCGTGGGAACCCCGTCACCATGGCCAGAGGCAGGACCTTCGACGGCTGGCAGGTGGCTTCATCATCCCTGCAAGCCACTTGCAGATCACCTACGGATTTGATGAGTGTGGCAATCACTTGCCAGGCGGCTCAGTGCAAATCAAGTGACACGTCCATGACTGGGAGCAGACAGATTGCTTTAAACCTGGGGGCTGGATGCAGTGTGAGCGTGGGACCAGGCACTCCACCAATGTGGAGCAATGGTCACAAACAGAAACATAAGCGGTTTCAGTTGAATATGCGGAAGAACTTCTTTACTTTGAGGGTGACAGAGCACTGGAACAGGCTGCCCAGGGGGGTTGTGGAGTCTCCTTCTCTGGAGATATTCAAAGCCTGCCTGGACGATGTCCTGTGCAGCCTGCACTGGGTGAGCCTGCTTTAGCAGGAGGGTTGGACTAGATGATCTCCTGAGGTCCCTTCCAACCCCTGCCATTCTGTGATTCTGTGTGAAGGTGCTGTGGGAATTGCGCTGTTTCAGAGGGCACCTTGTCAGTGGAAGAAGTGCCACCAGAGGCATCTTCAAGCCTGAGGTAGGCCACTCGCGATGAAGGGATAAGCTGGCCAGGGATGGAGACCTGGAGCCTGCTGACAGCACGTCCACCGAGACATGAATAATGGAAGCCCTGCTGTCACCACACAGCTCCTCTGCGGCGAGTACTGGGGCGCAGAGAGAAGAAACATGGTTGCCCAAGAAGGCACGTCAGAGGTGTCCTGTGGGGGCAGCTGATTGAACACCACTGCCAGGCTAAGCCTTTCCATGTCAGCAGCAAGCAAACAGCAGGAGAACAGGCACAGGCAGCATCTCCAAATGGGTACCTCACAGAAATGTTAATAGAGGAAGCTTGCAGATAATGAAAAGGAGGTAACTCCTTCACGCCTCATTAAAAAGCAGTCACATCTGTGAATGCGCAACAGAAAAGCAAAGCACAGAAACCTAACAAACTTCAAAGGTGCACCTGAAAATGCGGAACCTGCCGTTGTATTCTCCCTGAGCCTCTATCCTAATGTAGGAGACAAACCAAATTTGAGTCACATGCCAATATTGTGCTGGATCTTGCTCAATGCGCTTGTGGAAGGGAATGATAGGTGCCACATACCAGGCTGCTGCTTGTCCTCTGAAGTTAGAGCCGTGCCGTTTGTGGTAGGAAGGACAAGCTTAAGGGGAGAGTTAAGCACCTCCAAAGAGCAATGCAAAGCACCTACATGAATCCACCACTTCTTCCCACCTACCTTTTAGGAAACCTGGTCACCCTGCAGCACGAGTAAGTGCCAGCCTCTGCAAAACACCAGACCCCCAACCTGAACGTGCTCCAGGCCTGCTGGCTTTATCTGTTCCCATGGGATGCTGAGGACCGAGCTGAGTCCCGTGTGTACAGATCCAGCAGCTGAGAGGGAATAAACTCTTGCGCACTCCCGACGCTCCCGCCGGTCGGGGAAGCAGATCAGCCAGCGGCCGGGGGGGCC